GGTTTAAGTACATAATTAAAGGTAAGCATGTGGCTAAGTGTTTTGCTGAATAGAGACGAAATTACTTGCATGCTTAGATGCTGTGCTGAACCAAGGAACAGGGGCTGCTTTGTGCTTGCTGAGAGCAGAGAACAGGGAGCACGTAGGAGGAAGCAGTGCAAATAAGAGACAAAGGCACTGAGCAAACTTGAGGAGTAGACATTTCTTTGAGAAATCAGGACTTCAAGACCTGCTGCAGAAATATCGATGTGTATAGGGAAGCCTGTGCATGCCTTGTCAGTATGAGTGATTTCTGCAGGCTTTCTCCTGTCTGGCTTCTCAGTCTCCGTTACTTTTCTAGGGCAGATTTGCAGGGATGCTAAGGCACATGTGGTTAAACACAGAGTAATACGAAGAAAAGTGAGTTTAAAAAAAAAACAAGAAGGAAAACAACCTGCAACACATTGCAAAGCTTATAGCTGCTGGCTATTCCATTCCTGCTGCAAGGTGGCCGGAGAGACCCGGCGGTCCTTAGTTTAGCTACGCGGGCGCCCCCCAAATCTGCAGCTGCTCCCGGAGCAGGACGAGCATCGCGGCCGGGCGACGCCGAGCGGGGAAGGGGAGAAGGGCAGGGCTGCGATGGGGATGGATGCAGCAGGGATGCGGTGGGGAGCCCCCGGCCGTGCCGCGAGTGCCCCCTGCCGCTGCCGGGCTGCGGGGCCAGCCCGGGACTCACAGCCTCCACCGCCCCCTGGTGAGCTGCGGCCGGCTCTTCGCTGCAAGGCTCACAAAACAGCCCTTTGCCTTTTGTGCTTCTGGGTTAGATGCTCGGTCTTATCTCCCAGCCTTTTACAGCAAGCGGTGCTCAAATGCAGGCTCGCCAGGCTGCTAAGGCGTGGGGCACCGCGTGTCTCGTTTAGCTGCTGTGCCTTTGGTTATCGCGCAGCCCACCCAGCATTGCTGAAACAAACCTGCAGCCATGCAGGGACAGGAGAGCTGCACAGCCCTCACATCCACGTGGAGGTGAGAGCAGTGCTCTGTACCACCAGCTAAACCCTCCCAGGTTCCTTCATTAACTTCCCACCGGTGCTGGGTCTGTCAGGCATGTGGGAACACGCTCTCCCTGGAGTCACGGCAGGGATTGCAAGGCACTGCCATGCTGCAACACCACACAGCGCACAGGCAGGGTTTGGTCATCTTGCCATGCTGCAGTAACAGAAAGAGGCAGCAGTAAGTGGAAGGACAGATTAACACAGAAGCAGACTGGGGTAAGAACTGCGTGGTGGTGGTGAACACTGCAGCTTGGACAGCACGGGACGCCCAGACTGAAATCTCAGGTCACGTAAAACACCGTAGACCCATGAACTTTAGCTCCAGGGACTCGCACAGGACCTGGGTCCTCGCTTTCTCTAGGGCACAGCAGCTCAAGCAGTGGCACATAGCCACCAGCCCATGGATGGAGATGAGAAGAGAGCCTCCTGAAAGGCCTCCCCCTCCTGCAGGAGCAGGACTCCCCCTTTTCAGGAGCACAGCCTTCCCTCAGTCACAAGATCAGTTTCTGGGGGATGGTCACAGATACAGAAATATCACCCACACTTCCTCCCCGACAGAGCCACCCAGTGGTTTTTCTCATAAGGAGGAGAAAAAAAAAAACTTGTAAGAAAAACATAGTAGTAAAGTTCTAAGAAAAACATAGTAGTGCTTGCTACTATGACCCCTGCAAAACATTTGCTGTGTGATCCTCCTCTAGATCCTCTGGTCCCACCCTGGGGAAATTAACAGTTATCTCAACAAACTCAAGCTGTTGTTGGACCCCCCTCTGCAGACCAGCCGCGGGGCAGGGTGAGGGAACAGAGCCAAGTCTTGCAGGTGCACCCTGGACAGCAGCTCCTAGGGGCCTCACCACCAAAGGAGGACAAAGCGGGAGAGCAACGCGCCGCTGGGTATTACGCTGTGTCAACAAGCACGAAAGGTTCAGATGGGCTTTTTGAGAAATGCTCATTCAAAATATTTAATGCAGCGCAGCATGCATATATCAACAGGACAGGGCTACGCACACAGAGGGCCTATTCCCAGTCTGACACCCAGCTTAGTGTCCAAAGACACTTTTCTTCAAACGCTGTGCACTCAGATTTACTAGGCAGCTTTATAGACTGATACTTCCTCACACTTTACCAGTCTGATTAATTCAGCTGGCACCTCTGATCCCACTTCCACCACTAACCTTTTCTCTTGAATGGGATGACTCTGTAGTCTCACCATTCATGTGTTTGAGTCAGATCTTACATCAAAGATGTCCTGGGTTTTATACTGTCAGAAGCAATTTTGTCCCAGAAGAATGAAGATTGTGATTATCCCAGGAGGAAAGCTGTCAACTCAGCTCTATGTAGAAAAACTGCTGTCTACAAGAGCTTATATTGGACACCCTTTGGCAGACTGCCCTCCTAAAAAAAAAAAAGTCCACTGTTACCTACATGAAAGACTTTGTCTAAGAGCATTTGGGTGTTTGCTGACTTGGTTCATACAGCAAATTCAGATGAGAAGGAAGGGAATAAGAATATCATGTTTTTCATAAGCATTCCAGTTCAGGACAATGCACAGAAAAGCGATAATGGTGTAAGGAAAAGACCAGTTTGAAGAAGGGACAGACAGACGCTGAGCTTTGATAATGCCTTAATTCTCAGTTAGATACAAAACACTACTGGATCACACACTCCCCAAAAGTAACTAAGCCTCTGTTCTGGCTCTCCAAAGGCCTCCAAGATTGTTCCAAGCACAGGAGAGCTCTCAACCCTTGCTCATTTCACCAGATTTTGCCCAAGAGACACCACTTTGGGTATCTGTGCTTCAGAGAAGGGACACCATGCCACTAGCTCCCAGGGAGCTGGCTGTGGTGGCCACCTTTAGCACAGGATTGCGCAGTAAGCTCTCCCTTGTTAGTGAGCTGACAGCGAGCTGGTTGGGAAACACTACACACCATATGATGCTACTATCCCAGCAGTATTTCTGTCATGCCACGGAGGGGAAGAACATCTTTTTGCAAGAGGAGATGCTTCTGTTCTGCATTTCAGACCAGGGAGTTGCAGTGGTTGCTTTTCATGTGTTTAGGAGTGTGTGACACTTCACAGCCCTATAAACCAGGTTTGTCTCCAGCTGAGTCAGCATGGCCATCCAGAAATCTGCATGCCAGTGAAGTCTCAACAGTTGTTTTTTTTCCTTTTGACTTTTTTTTCCTAAATGTACCCCAGAAGAAAATGCTGCCAATGAGCAAACCTGGCTTGTCCATATTGATGCAAGGTCTACGTAGCTTTGAAGATCTCCAAGCACAGTGAAATATCCTGTCCTCATAGTAATAATGCCTAAGAACAAGGATCTTGGTTATGATTTAATGGAGCACTTAGGCAAGACCTTAATACCCACTCATTTCAAGTGGACCAGGTACAAGCTTACAGTAAAATATGCATGTAAGTACTTTTACTTTTTACTGATTCTAGGCTTAATTGCACAAAGTGCAGTAAAGGGTAAGGAAAAAAGTAAAAGGTTGTGAAGTGCATAATAAGAAAACTGAGCAAATGTAAAGTGTGTAAGACCATTAGAAAATAGTTATTTTGAAAATATTCCAATGTGAAAAATATAAACTGTCACGCTGTTCAGAAACGCAGGCTTTTCCCTTTAAATGCATGCCTTCCAGGCTTAACCTAATATGGCGGTATTCCGTACAACTTCAAAAAATGTCCGCTCAAAAGATGACAGGATGGGGTACATCTCTGTGACTGGAAATGGAATTTTAAGCACTGAGTTTATCTTGTCAGGTTAGCTCAGTGATGATGTGAGCTCGCAAGGGGTGAAGTGGATCACTAATTGCCAGCAAGCACAACAATAAACTGATAAGCACAGAAGCTAAAAGTCTTTAGATGGGAGACATTTCGGTAAAGCAGGGACTGTTTGAACAGGTACTCCTTCTGTGCGAATTTGCTTCTCCCACAGTTCAGCAGCGATTGCCTGACTTTTGTTCTCTGATCCCCAAAAGGAGCACACTGTGGGTTGTTTGGGCCAAATCAGAGAGACAGGTATGTACCTGTACACCTTGCTGCCATGCCAGCTCCACCCTGCAAATCTTGCAGCTCTGTTTATGCTACATTTTTCCATGGCTCCAGACAGCCACAATTTTAATTGGACTGGCTGATTATTTTTTTAACCCTTTTTATTTACTTTATTTCACTTTATGATGCTAATCTTGGCACCAGAGTCTCTCATAATTCAAATTACGATATCAAAATATGCATCAGCTAATATAACAAATGGCCATTCACTTAAAATTAGGCAGCCTACCCTAAACAATAAACCAAATTAACCCCCCGCCTCTCCTCTCAGTCTTTTGGCCTGAACTGCTCCCTGCACGTTTAAGGAAGAGGCTCCTCGTGCAGGGAAGTTTAGCAGATGAAGGAAGGCGAGAAGGGGAAGTACCAACTCTGCCCTGGGCTTTTAAAACTTGCCATGCATTTTCCTGCTCTGGAAGAGCATGTAGCAGAGAACAAAACACTTGGCCAGCTGTAAAAAAAAAGGAAATCCTAAAAGAGGTAGGGGACTGATTGGATATAGGTTTTTCCTTCTAAAGGTTTGCCACCACTGGAAGGAAGTAAATAAAAGGGAGGGAGAAAGGGACGGGCCCCACTTTGGATGCTTTATTGTTGCCTCCTGAAGCTTCCTCCACATCTCCATTTCTCAGCTATCAGAAACAACAGTAAAAAAAAAAAATAAATTAGAAACACAAAAACCCTAACTCCCTTCCTCTAGATCACTTGCAATGGGCACATGCCAAAACTCAGCAACTGCAGAAAACGCATGTGGGTGTTTTCCTTACTTTCCCACCACTTTTCCTGCATCTCTTACCACAGAGTGTCCAGAGCTAAGCTCTGGCCCTGAAGGCAGTTTGTGCTGGTGGCACAGTTAAGGTAGGTGAGTCAGTGACCGTACCCACGCATGCAAATCAAGGACTGTGAAATGGTAAGACCTTACAGCCTCGATCCCTCAGGAGCAGGAGGCTGGGTCTTCAACATGTTCTGGAAAGCACTCTCCAGACTTGAGCTGCTTCATAAATAACAAAGCTGACCTAGGGAAAGCTGGAGTTGGTTTCAAACTAGGTCCGTACTTTTTTTTAATTGGCTCAGTCAGAGCATATATATAGCCAGGAAAGCAACCAGGAGCCAGGGTGAACGCCTCCCGTGGCAGCGAGCACACACTGATCCATCGCAGCTCAGGCTGGTTGCCCCAGCAAAAGGAAGGAGAGTCTCTCCACAGGCAGCAGCCACCGTGCCCAGCTGTGACAGCAGGACAGGGGAATGGTAAGCCGACATGCTTCTAGGGTGTATTTTGCGTTTTCCTTCCAGGTTTATGCGAAGATTTCTCTCCCTCCCTCCCGTTTGCTCGGAAGGTTATTTATGAATTAGTGAGCTGGTTTTATGGCACATAGCATCTCATAAATTCCCCGAGATCCCACTGGGCCACTCCATAAAATACTTACATATGCTACTGACTGTCAGAATAAGGAATGATTTCCAAATAGTCTGAATGCTGGCTATCACTAAAATAACCCAAACTGAGTTGCCATGGAGGTTCTCACAGCTTTGGATGTTACCTCAGCAGTGAAGCTCACTGCCGCACGATGCAGGACAGCAAGCCTTGCATTTCTCACCCAGGTTACAGTTCTGCCTGTATGGTTCACACTCCAAAGGAAAAGTGCAAAAATAATGCACTAGACAAAACTTTAAAAGCATTTTTGTTTAAGGTAATTATGAACTCTATTTATGCCTATTAAATTACAAAGATTAATATTAAAGAACACACAAAAACTGCCAGAAGGCAACACCTGACCTGTGAATGTTTAACACCCGGGCTGTTTCTAAAGTAACTGCTCACTCATCTCCTTAAAGCTGCTTAGATAATTGCAACTTTTTTTGTCTAGAGTTCATTTGAAATGAAAGAAAGCAGGGATTTCCTATTCCCTTGCCTGGGAATGCTTACCTTTATTCCCACATATTATATCTTTGATAATGTGTACGGTAAGATTTTGTTCACCTAAGTATGAGACATTTGCTGTAGCCATTCCTGTGCCAGGGTTTTTTTCCATCCAAACCTTGCACACACACTGACATGTGCATATACACAATTGCTGGAATTCTTGAGTCAGAAATAATCATTCATACATAAAAATATTTCAATGTTTCATATCACTCGGGATACATGCACTGTAAAGTTCCTAGGGACAGCAGTAGCAATGACATTTAATTTTATATTTTTTCTTTTAGTTATTTGTACAAGGGTCATGATCAGTTCACTCAGAATTTCTGCTCAGAAGCTGTACTGTAAAGTGAGTATCAAAAACCTTGACACACTGCCTGAATTTTGTGTAGGCCAAAAAACCCTTTCATTTTGCAAGGAAATTAGAAATTATATGAGAGCAGATGAAACAATTCAGATGGATCTTTGCTGGGTTATGTTGAATAAAGAAAAGGTTGAGAAGAAAAGTGAGTCATCCAGATATTAAGTATTTCCAAAAGGAGCTTTTTTCTAAAGGTAAACCTATTCTGGAAAAAAAGCTCATATCAGGCAATACTAGACCTGTCTGTAGCAGATATAATAAACATCTTAAAAAGCTATTTGTAAATTAAAGTCTATTCTCAGATTTTGAGCAATGGAAAGTAAAAAGGAGCAACACAAACAATTTCATTTGCGCAGGCTTGGCAGCAGTACACAGTGCTGTTTTATTTGTGCTGCCTAAACCAGGGCTTTTCCCCCCATGCATCTCCTAGTGATGGAGAGGATGGTAGCAGCATGGGAAGGCAGAGCTGCAGGTCTGGCAGGGGACAGAACTGCCACCGGGGCTGCTATTTGGTGCAGATGGCCCACTGGGCTTCAAAAGTGAGCAAAAGAAGTGACGTGGGGTCCTGTCATGCCTTCCCAAAGCATTGGTCCCAAATGAAACGGAAAAGCTCAGTCCAGTTATGTCATTAAGTATTGCTCATCACCACTATTCACCTGATGCTAGAGATTTTCCCCCAATTTCAACAATTTATAGCCAATTCATTTCTCTTGCTACACATTTTCAATCCTTGGGCACATCAGTGTCCACTTTGGTCTGTAAGAGAGACAGGGAAGATTCCCATCTAACATGCTCCAGTCCTCCTAGTGAAAGCTGATAATTGTGGCTTGTTTACAGACCCTGCCAGTGATCTGTAAACTTTTGAGGAGCAATGTTTTTTGAGTGTTTTTACCAGCTGCTTCAAGATAAAGTTGAAAGAAGAAAAAAAGAAACTTAGCATCTTCTGTCCCTCTGCTTGAGTTGGAAACCTCAATTGTGGAAGCAGGATGGATAATAAATGGCTTTGTCCCATTCTCATGCAGACTAATGTGATTAAAAAGATTAGCACATCACACAGCATGTTTATTTGATTCTTCATTAATGAAGGATAGCTACTTATTCATCTCTGTTGGTACAGTGTTTTATTGAATGCCAGAACTTACATTCTGCTTGCAACTATTGATTTAATCTTTCCACAGTGTTTACTTGTGCAGAGCTACTCACACTTCACATCACAGATACAGGAAGAACAGCTGGATACTTCACACATTTCTGTAGGCAGTAAGAAAGCCTAGCCTGTCTGGTTTGGGTATTAGGGTTCAACTTTTATTCTCTGACACAGCACAAACCTGTTTTTAATCAATGCTTTTAGGAGCTAGGTAGGCAGGTTAGCAGCATGCCACGGTGAGTGCTTGTGCTGCCAAACTCCAAAACCAGGATCTGAATTCTCTGCCCAGGCATTGTGAACATTTACATCTGGTACTTTGTAATACTTGTTGTTAAACAGATGGCACAAGAGAACACTCACATGGAAACACAGCAGTTTGTAGAATGAGGTATGTGAGTTTATGGGGGAAATATTTAATTCCACAGCAGGATCTTTTCCTTATATTTCTCCCTGGATTTACCTCTGTATTGCAATTGTGGAAGAGCTGATGTAGCAGCAGAATCAATGCCAGGATGAAGAGAAGTGGAAGGCTGGAGTTAGGTGGGACAAGGGGTAATGAGGACACTAAGCTGAGATTCCCTACTTGCACCGACATCTGTAACCTTCACTTCATAAACAAAGCATGCATTAAATAAAGTGGTCTTTAACAGACAGCTTTCAGAAGACCAAACCTGACATAAGTATCGAGAAGAAATCTGGGGCTCTGGATTTTGAGGTAAAGAGTCCTACTGGCTCACATGCTCCTGAGATTTACTCTGTCCTGCAGTTGGGAGTGTAGGGGTGCTCCAGGGTACCCTCAGGCTTACTAAAGAGGCCAGACCATGCTCACAGCCTGTGAAAGAGCAAAGGGGGTGACAGCAAAGGGCTTGGCCCTTGCCCTGAAGAGATTATGTGACCCCGACAACCAAACCTGTCTTGCACATCCTTTCACTTGCTGCCTTGGGCAAGGCTCCTACTTGTAGGTACCAAGATAGGGAGCAGCACAGAGGTGTCTAGGCAGTCTTGGGGCATGCTGAGGGCTTTCCCTGGAGGAGTGAGCAGGCCCCTCATCAGGGACTGCCCTTAGGAGCAATGCTTCCATGACTGGTGTGGTCCCAGCCCAATGCCATTGCAAAGCCCATGAATGTTTCAAGTGAGTCATCAGGAAGAAGGGCATAAATTACCTATTTACTTTCAAATGAAAATAAATGCTGCTGTATTATTTCTGTTACGAGCAACTCTCTTCCCATAACATTTCCATCAGTGCTTTGGCAGCAGTGACTAATTCCATGTGCCAGAAATGCAAACTGCTCCTTCCTTATTCCCTTGCCTACATTTTCTACCTGCAGATAGAAGAAAAGCTTCTTCAATTGCCTGTTTCAAGGCTGTCATCAGTTAGCAGTTTTTCTTCCTACCAGATGACCAGGCATGGTAGAAATTATAAAGCTACATTGGAAGATTACACGTTTAGCTTTTCAGAGTGTGGAGGTATGTAACCTTTCTTTCAAGCATCCCTCTGTCACCTTCCCACCCTCTCCCTGAGGCTCATTCCAGCTTGTTCACAAATCAGAGGTAACTGACAGCAGCAAATCAGATCGCATAAATCACTCTGTAGTGGCTGAAGCACTGCAGCAGGTAAGGCAAGGGTGCACGGTGGTTGTGTGAACCAGAGGTCACCGAGATACTCCTCACCACTTGCGTAGGGACCCTGGCAGTCCCAGTCCCCTCACTTCCATATAGGAACACATTGGGGAGCTCCACACTGGCCATGAGAATTGGCGATTTCTGAGTTATTTCTGAATTACGGCTGAACAGTCAAAGCTGTGGGTGTTAACAACTAACCCTGACTTAACCCTCACCATCTTTCCAAAATAAGGACACTGCTATTAAAATGCTTCAAAACAAATTTTGACACCAAGCTCTGCATATGTTTGCTTCTAACTCCAAGTTATGGAGGAGTGCTTGATAGATACTATCATCCTACATTGACGTGACAGTTTTGTTACACAGTGACTAAGACACAGCACAGTGACTGCTTTAATAATGTCTACTAACCTGACAGTAATGAAAACCGTGAGCATAAACCCACAGAGATGCAAGAACCACTGTGCCAAACCAATAAATTGGAAGTACACAGAAGTAAGCAACATAAACCTCAAAAGTAATGAGTGTCTGTTTACTGGTTAAAGGCTGTAAGTGAAATGTTGTGCTTCAATGGATCACTAAATTACCAACCAAAGGAGGAGGGAATTAAAGGTGAATATCTTAACACCGTTTTAAACAAAGTGTTTTCTTTTTAACAGAAGGAACCCCCACCACCTACAAACTGACATGCAATTTACAGAGTTTGATACCATATCAAAACTTGACTGGCTTTTTTTTTTTTTTTAAGAACATTTTTCTCCACCATGTACCTAGGTCCTTCAATTTAATAAATGATGGTTTTGCTCAGAAAATCCCTAAAGGTATGTAGGTAGGTGCTGAAGTGTAGATACAGCTGTGAATTCTCTACAAGATGCTCATTTCTTCAAATTGTGTTGAAAGTTTCAAGAGGAAAGCAAAAAAACACCCTGAAAAACCCAACTTTCTCCCTGTGAGGATCTAGATGCTTTTAATCATTTGCAAGTTAAAAGGAAAAAAAAAACCAACCTCCTGGATGCTAGTATAACACTGATATACACTGATGTTATTGGACCTGGAACCAGGAAAATAAAGGAAAATAATTAAACAAAAAGAATGTCCTCCCCCCCACCCCAACACACACACACCATGCTCCTGAATTGCAACAAGCTTAATGTGTTATTTCTTATTCTGACCCGTGCAACTTTGTTCTAGGAATTCATATAGTTTCAAAGGATACCTAACCATCAGCACTCTGAAAACTCCATGTTGTCAAATAACTCACAGAACACAATATCTGTATAAACTTCAGTTTACAAAGACAAGATATTAACTAGAACAATGTGAGACCCTACAATATTATTTCCATTCAAGATCTTTCATGAAGCTCTACAACATGGATTCATGCCATTAGTGAATGCAACACACTCACTTCCTCTTTGAGAGTCCTCCATCTTACTAATTAAGAGAGCCAAGTGCAGATATGTTAAACAACTTCCCAGGGACTATACAAAACTGCAGAGCCACTAGATAAATGGCTTTTTTTTTTGATGTTGCCTGAACCCTGTACCATCATTTCATCCTGCCTTATTAGACTGAACGTTCAAGCACAGTGCTCCCTGAAAATGTCATGTTCGCTTATAATGAGTTTCATTTTGTTTTTAATGCTGTGGCCAAGTGAATGTTTTCCTTTTCATCATTTTTATTTCTGGCTTAGTTTCAAGATCAGATGTTGAAATGCATTAGTACTAAGAGAGAAGCTTTTCTTGTGTTATACTAGTTAAAGCAAGGCTGTTCAGAATCTCTTATCAAGTTTCCTAAAGTGAGGGATGCTGTTTTGCCTCATTAAAAATCATATGAGAAATCATACTAGCAATAAGAAGCTACAATTCCCATTCTTTTTATCTGTTGTTAATTAAATTAAGATTTAGAAGAAGTTGTGTAAGGCCTGAAATTGAACATCAGAAAGCACTACAGAAGGCTGATTTGTTGAAGCAATGGCAAAAAAAGAATAGTTTGGTGAGAGGAAAGCTTTAGGAAGCTCAATGGAGACTCTACACTTAGTTTGAATCCCTGCATTTCCCTAGTTCCTTCCTGGTGCCTTTTTTTATTCTCACACCTACACAGAGACCGTATGTTATGTCCTGAAGCAACTATTGCAATGCATAAGAGATTATTTATAATTCATATTATGTCCTTGAGCAAGAAAACATCAGTCCCATACTGTGTCCTGCTCTCATGTGACACACAAAGAAATCCCAGCATCAATTGCAAAATTGTCCTACAATGGCATTTCCATTAAAAAAAATCATCATAATCCCTCTCTGCTCTTCCAGTTTAGCAATAGGTGTAGGTGGGGTAGCTAGACTTGAGGAGCATGAGTTGCTTTCACTGGATGTATTCATGTGTCACATGGCCACTAAGCAAGAGAACTTGTATTCTTGATTATTATAATTGATTAGCATCAACTTGGTGAATCTGCTACCTGCCCACTTAATCTTTTTTCCCCTTAAAGATCCCCCCCAGTCTCTTTGAATATCTTCTCTCTTTACAACACCTTCTTTAGTACAACTGTTCTAAAGTATGGCTGTACTGTATTATTTTCTCAGGTGTTTAATTGGAACTTGTTATAGCCCAATCATTAATACAGGTTTCCCCTAGGTCCTTCTATCCTTTTTTTTTTTTTTTTAAAAAAAACTTCCCCTTTGTCAGATGTCTCACTGACAAAACTCTGCAGTGCAGCTCTCCAACAAAGCTTAGAATATTTCACCTGCTCCTTTCTCCTTAAATATCTGGTGATTGTTTTAGTCTCATTAAATCTGGCTTTAAGAAAAATGAAGCTGTCCCAGAGTAGCTAAATCTAAAGACCCTTTGGTCTTTTAGAGTTAAAAGAAACTCAGTTTAGAATCATTGACAACTGGTAAGCAAGACACCCTTGTTCAGCTTATTCTGCACAGGCAGTTGATTGGCACCATCAGAACAAGTAAAAATATTTTTTTTTTACAGTGGAAAACTGAAGTGTCATTCAGTTGTTTGTGCTTTTTTTTTGTATCTACAGTACTGTACAATTTCCTATTGAATGTTTAAGTGGTTAAAGCCAAGCAAATGGAGAGGAAGAAGAGAAGAACATGCCATGTACCAGCTGCAGAAGACAGCCCTTCACCTAAACATGGTTGTAAATGATCTGAGTCCTCTGCTGCTGGTCATCTTGATTTTCCATCATATTTTGTATCTTGGAGGAATTTTGACAGGTTTATGTGTGACACTAGGTTACCCTGTAAAGTGGAAAGCCTGTAATTAGATGCTGTGTAATCAGTAACCTCCCACTGGCAACCACTCTGCCTTAAATCTGCCATCACACTTAATCAAGAAAATGCCCCCAGGGAGGCCAGTGTCTCCACAAGCCACGAACCTGTCATCTGCGGGATTTACCTTGACACATACTGCCACCTCTGTAAAGGACCTGCCCTAAAATACAAGAAAAGGCCACAGATGAGGACAAGCACGTGTCCTGTAAAGCTAAAGCCACCAACAGGACCCTTCACATACTGCATGGGATGTGACTACGTATCTTACGTAGAAGTGTGTTAAGGGATGTGTTTGATGGCTTCAACAAGAATTTAGCCTACAATTGCTATTTGAATAAAAGATTAACCATTCCTAGCAGTATTTGAAATAACTGGAACTGCACAGCGTAAGAGACAGCCATAACAATAACACAAAGCTACACAAATGTGACAGGACAGACTGCAATGAAGGTATGAGTTGAGAAAGATTTTTTTCCTATAAAACCATTACTGTACGTATACCATTTTTGTTGTTTTTTTTTTTAAATGTCAACTACAAAAAAGATACGTTATATAAGGGAGAGGTATCATTAAATACACAAACACACCCACAAGCCAAAATAGTGCCATAAAAGTCCAAAAGCGAGTGTCTAGTTAAAACTAATGTTTTTTAATAAAATTTCTTGGAACTGTTTTTAGTGTGCTCAGATATATATATACCTGCTTACTTCTCAGATAAAAACATGCAAAAAGAGAAGTCTGCTACATGAATGCAGCATGCGTGTCATTGTTTTTGACAGAGTAGCCAGTGAGGAGAAAATGCATTTAGAGGCAAGAATTAACTGCAACTGTAGATAGCAAGTAAAGACTAAGAGGACCATAAAGGTCCTGAGTTCCTAAGGGGTTTATTTACTGATGTCTGTCTGAGAAATGGCTAATCTTATCACAGACCTCCCTCATTACCGTGAAAATAGAAATTTGGACCTGCACAGGCAGTTGCTGGTATACATCCCCCATGATACACAAGTGGTACAAAATGACAGTGATTGTTCTCGTTGGCACGACACCATAGTGCAGAGCAGGCAGACATGGGTCCCAGTAGGCAGCCTGATGACCCAAGTCCCATCCCTGACTCATAAATACTTTCTTCATGTTTAATATAAAAAGCTTAAATGCCAGTCATAAAACAGCTCCTGCCTGAGCTGCTGCTCTCTGCAGGCACCAATCCATGCACCTGCCAAGGTGAGAAAGGCAACATTGACGATCTTGAATTGCAGCACAGAGATGAAATAGAGGTAAAAGTTGTCTTGTTTTCACTTAATACAACTTCTTAAATTACTCTATATCAGCAGAGCGACTGAAGCCCCCAGAAATTTAGCATTTATCTGCGTCTTCAAAATTATTTAACAGGAAGCATTTTTTATAGCTACAAGAAATGTTCATAATCATAATAGGTACCAACTAACTGGTACTGCTTTGCAACCATGTCTTGAACATGTGACTATACTTTTCTTCATTTTAATGTATTCTGTTCAGATCATTTCATCTAGCTTCAGTAATTCATGCAATATTCATTACCTTGCAAAGGCACACTGAGTCTTCTGTACAGAATACTAAAACCCTTGGGGAAGTAGATTGACCATTGAAATCTTACTAACATATTTTGATACACATTATCTATTACTAATATATGTTGATACATACATATACATACATACAAGAGACATTAAGAAACAAGCACCTCATTCTTCAGAGAAAAACTGGTCATTCAAAGCTTTAGATATATCAATATCCAATATACCAACAGAGGAATTAAAAGTGACATATTTGAGGAAGACCATATCCAGAAAAAGATATCAACCAGTCTCAATGGCAAACAATAACTTTTGAACAAGGTTAATAATTTTTTAATGAAGTTAATATTTTGAACAAAGAAAAAGTAAAGAAAAAAATAAGTTCACTCTAAATATTTAATTAAAACTTGAACTATGAAACCTTCTTTGTCCTATCCACAGAAATGGTCGGTTTTGACAACTTCCACTCTCTCCCAGTGGTTAACTAAGTGCAGATTACCAAGATCAGCCAAGTGATTATGCAGGAGTGTAAGAACCAGCACAAGCAACAGCTAATTAACAATCTCTATTTATGTTTCGAGATGACTGCTGTAGCAAATTAACTGAAAAGGCAGATGGCACTATTTCTTAATGATGTACTATTTCTTACTTTTGTTATCGTAGCTGTGGCAATGCTCAAGATTATCCAATTCAGAGTACTTCTGTGCCCTCTAGTGGCTCTGTGATCTAGTGACAAGTATTTACTGCTTCATTAACAGAGCAGCAAGTTCAAATGCAATCCGTTGTGTTGTGCGGTGTTACTAGGACCTGCATTTTTGTTTCTCTGCGGAAATCAGAGGGAGAAGAACACCGGCCAAGTGGAACCACAGGCTCCATGATCAGCCTTATATCCCCTAAACACTACAGAGGAAGCAGTGGCATAGCCAGAAGCCACCTTGTATAACTTTCTTGAAGTGATAGCAGATGCCAGCATCCTCTGCAAATCACAAGGCTTCCTTCTGTTATTTCACTTCTTGTCCCAGTAGGAGGCTGCTGTGCTCCCACCTTTGGGCTGGGAATAATGAACACATCAGGAGGAAGGATTATTAACATTGACGTGCATGTTTATCTCCTCAGGTGAGATGTGCTACATGACCACAGCTCCCTCCCTAGGTTTCTTGGGCCAGACAGCAGCTGACCCACAGCCTACTGCTGAGGCCACCATCACCACATCTGCACTCAGGGGTTTCCTCATGTTCCTGCCCACCTCTATGGCTGGGAGAACAGTAGGGAGCAGCCCTAGGGAGGTGTGAGTAGGGGACAGAGAGCCACGCACTGTGTTAATTCATAGTCTGAATCCACTACTCACAATTTACCTTGATATCTGAGGATCTGAATAGACAACACTACTTCAGCTCTACTTCAGCTGTAAAGCCTCTTGTGAATCCAACAAACTGGGGAAGGAATCATAAGATTTTCCTGGAGCTTCACAGGTGTTTCCTCCCTGTTAATGCACCATGCCACTGGGACTGGCTACTTTCATAGTCCTGGACCCTAATTTTACAGGGAGCTCTAAAAGCTAACTAACTTTAGTTCCTACAGAACTAAAAGCTGTGAATCAGATTTTTTTCCTTTACCACCTATGAACACTGAATTGCACACTACACTACTAAACACTCAATATAGAGTTCCTATACAGCTAGATTATATTCTTCTCTCCTTTTATATTCCTGTCTGATAAAAACAGTAAGAATTAAGTAGCTGGAAAGAAATTAAGTGCTACCCACACCAGGAATGTACCAAAGCTACACACTTTGGAAATGACATCTACAAAGTGATCATGATAGGTGCAGACCTAGGGGGTTAAAGAAGAACATGTTGTAGAAGAGCTAACATGGCCTTTGTATCCTTCTAAGGATCTCCTCTTAAACTGAGGATGGCAGGTCTTTTCTGGAGGTGGGATGTCACGCTTTCAGAATTAACATCTTGGTGGCCCACGTTCTCCTCTCTGTAACCTAGAGGTGTTGGAATATGGAAACAGCTTGCAAAATAATTCAGTTACAGCCAACTTCGATAGTTTTCCTCTGGGCTGATGAAAAGTTCACAGTTACAAAAGGTGTTTGGAAGAAGGTCATCGCTTCCAAAAGGCACAGTACCTTCCTGTGAAATTACTGCATGTTATTTGCAGTATAGCTGTGATAGCGCCTTAAGAGCCCCTCCATCAGAAAGCAGTAACCTGACCTAGCTAGGGACTATAGGGACACCTAAAAGCAGTGTCTGGGAATAGTGCCAGTGGCTGCACACACTGTACTCAACTCCACACACGAGAGTCAAGACCCGATCTTTGGTCTGCTAAGCACTGATTACCCTAACATACCCATGTATAGGAGGAAGAAATTAACTCCTGCTGTTACCTTCTCCTACCTGAATTACTCTTTGCTGGTAAAAAAAAATAAAAAAAATAAAAATAAATTCCCTCATAGCCCTTTGTTTCCTGCCTACAGCCATGCTGACAGAAGAGTCAGTGCCTTGGGTAGTCTTCTCTAAGCACCTTGGTGAATAACCCGTGTGCACGAGTGTGTAGCATTTCTGCATGGCCCTAAAAGTGAGTTTCACAGTTATTCTGTAATATTTTTATGTGGTTAGAAGACCCTGTCCCCCCTCTTATAATAGACCTGCCAAGAGAACAGTAAATAAAGCAGCCCAAACTCTAGTAAATATTAACAAAATCCCTCTCACGAGTGCCTTTAAGAAGACCAGCAGCATGTAGTGCAGTATAAAATGAATAAATCCCATATTTCATTTGAAATCTCCACTCACTTTTTAAGTCAGAACAATGAACTCTGCCTTACATGGCAAGATTTTCTGATTTCTGTGAAACACCTGCCAGACTTCAGTGACTTACCACTGCCTCCTCAAATAAGTACTATACCAGCCTACAGTAACAATCCAAAAGCTGATTTTGTTTGACTAGGAGAGTGTCCACAAGGAAAACCAGTGCCTTTAAGTGTATTTAGGAGAGCTGAAATGAAAGTAATTCAGAAGCCAGTGATCAAATTGAAGGTGGGCTTCAGAAGCACATCAATTGCAAACAGGCCATCAGCACATGGGAAAGCAAACAATTCTCACTGAAGCAAAGGACAAAAAAGATAGTAAAGTGGTAAATAGTAGAAAACCTCTAAGTAAAAGTGACAAGAACTAGGAAAACTGTTCTAGATCTAGAAGTTCAGTGTAACTTATTTACATGTTTAGTTTTATCACATTTTGCTGATAGAGCTGGGATACAAGTCTACTTGCAACAACAAAATAAAGACAACACTAAGACTCATTTTGGTGATAAAAAAGATCAAATAACTAAGTTACACCTTTATTTAATCTTTCAATTGCCCTGAAAGACCACCTTTGCATGCCTGACCATTTCCACTGCAAGTCCCAGTGTGACTGGGTGGTGGTAGGTCTGGTTTGCACACTTGGGTGTGTTTCAAGGCTGCAACAAAATGCAGGGCCAAGCAAGTCCAGCCCTGTTTCAGGAAGGGTTTTGTGCAGCTCCAGCTGAAGCTGGAATCCAGAAGTACAAGCTAAACAGCATTTAAACAGTATGGCTGCAGCTACAGTCTGCTGAAACAAATATTCAAACACTAATAAGCTCTGTTTGAATGAAAATGAACAGTTACAGTACACTTGCTTCCTACTTCCAAAAGCAAAATTCCCTCTAATTTCATTTAAAATAGCAAACAATTTTCCCCCCATCTGAGTACAAATAAACATCTGGAACTGCTGTGCTTTGGTTTTTGTTTACATAATTATTTAGCGGATGGCCAGAGGGTTAGAGACTGCCGAATGATTCTAGTCTTAGGAGTTTACAGTAACTAATTTCTGTGGGATTTAGGATTCACTCGCCAAGTTTCAGGCACAAGCAATGCTTTTGCAGTTGAGTTGTAAGTCCTGGAAAGAACAGTCAATAAATGAAAATGCCAGACATGCATCCCAAATTCATCTTCACCCCAAGCATTATAGTGCTAGGCAAAGCTGCAATATTTAACCCTGCAGGAATTATACTGACTGAAGAACTGGAAAACAGATTAAGTCACTCTGGGGGTACCAGAGTCTTGAGAGATATGGAACCTCAACATGGTTCCCATCTACATCTCTAACTTTAGAGATAATTAAGCTTCCATCTGAGTTTTTATACAGACAACCCACCTGATATCATTACTGCTAGAAGTATGTTTACTTGGTGAGCTCTTTAGAACTGTAAATGTCTGGAAAGAGGGACTTAAGCCAGTATGTGAGAAACAAAGGGTGCAGGATTCTGAGAAACACTGCATGTCTACAGCTGCTTGCTGAATTAAACATTTCATTGTTACAATCATTTGGCTGCAATGCTGCCTACAACAGCCAGCCTGTGGGGGATCACAAAATGTTGGGAACAAATGTGCATCTTGGAAAAGAAGGTTAAGAGGTAAAAGCCTCTTGATATAGATACCAGAGAATCTAAATCTTGCAGAAAGCCAATCACCCAACAGCCACTCCAGCAGAAAAAGAAATACCTCAGCTCCAGGAGGGAAACAAAAATGCTTCTCAGCGTAGACTCAAAGCTACAATAACTCCAAGGGGGGATGGAGGGTGGTCCACCAAACTAGACTCAAGGCTCAACAAAAATTCCAGAAAAAGCCCTGCCACCTGAGACTTAGAAATCCAGAAAATGTTACTCCAAACCCTACAGACCAGACTCAAAGGTTCATAAAAGCACCTTTAGAAAGAAGCATCTAGTCTAGACTCAAGGATCTGTATTTAAATGTTTGATTTTGGATTCTTGATTGATTTATTTTGGCAGAGAAGGACAAAAACATCTTTTCCCCCAAACTGATATACAGAACCACAAGTAAAAGAGTAGTGTATAGTTCCTTTTTTGGCTGCCTCCTGTTTTATCGGACTATTCAAGACCACACAAATATAACAGCTATGAGAAAGTAACAAATCTTCCTGGTAACTGCTCAACTGTGTATTGTCCTGGATCACAATTCACTGAACTTGTACCTGAAAAAGCATTGTTTCTGTATGTAATTCATCCCGGTTTAGTGTCAAACACTGACACCTATCTACATTTCCAAATACAGTTAGCAAATTGATTCATTTTTGAAGAACTATTTTTAAAAAATGGCCTTAGTGTTACACTTATTAGTCTTCAAGTTGGCTGC